ATAATCTGAGAGAACAATGTCAGCCCCTGGCAGTCACTCCAAAGAGACTCGTGCTTGAGTAGGAACTTTTCTTTGTAAGAGAATTATGTGTGGACTTTAAGACAGCTGTGACAGTGGATGCTTTCTTTGTACACACACACTTAATGTTGCTACCAGGAATTTCAATCCTCGTTCCTCGTCTATCTCTCAGCCCCATCAACAGAATAACTGTATTCAGCCTGAATGGCAGTTTTTTGTATAGTAAGATAAATGTATTTAATGTAGGAGCAGGGTACTTTAAATCATTTAAACCAAATAAGAATTATGCAAATGAAATTTACTGGTTTGAAGCAACATAAAAAAGATGATGGAACACGTGGAGATGCCTAAATTTAACCTCTTTGATTAGAGAAAAAAACAATATCTACATTTATGGCTGACTGGGAAACCCTTATAGACTTCTCGCATAAAACAGGGAAAAAAATGCACATACGATTTTGGGGTTTAATGGTTAGAAAAATCTGGATAATACAGTGAGTTTTCTTTTGTAATCATAGAGTAAGAGATAATTTTGTAATTGCACTTATATTTGCTACAGAGGAAATCAGAAGCTTTTTTTCTGTTTCTTTCTTTCTTTGTGCACTTGTTCCTTTTTTCTTTCTTTTTCCTTTCTTTGCTGCTTTTACCCTTTATTAATTTGTGTTAGTTTTGATGTTCTTGGTAAAACTTTCAATAAAAAAATATTTTAACAAAATGAAGCACCATTAAAATGGAAGACTGTCGAATTCTCAAAACTGGGGTTACTAAGTTCCACTTTTGCTTTCAGAGGTGATTGGTAGGGCTGAAATCTTTACTTGTCAAAAGATGGACGTGTATGGCTGTCAGCAGATAAATAATTATGATCAAGAATAATCTAAACCAGGGGTCTTCAAATTTGGCCCTTTTATGGCTTGTGAACTTCAACTCCCAGAATTCCTCAGTCAGCATGTCTGGATGAGGAATTCTGGGAGTTGAAGTCCACAAGTCATAAAAGGGCCAAGTTTGAAGACCCCTGATCTAAATCATCGGTCAGTGCCTCTATACATTCAGTTTTCTCCAAACTTGTGGGTTCCCAGAAGTATTAGACTCTCATAAGCTGTAGCCAATAAGATCCATGGTACTGATGGCTAGGAATAATGGAAGTACAAATCCCTACTCTGCAGATCATCATGCGTAGGATGTGGCTGTGTGTTATCATCATATTTGGGGGGGAGCGAGAGGAATTACATTCCACCATTTTTCAAAATCAAGTCACCTTGGAGTAAGCTTGACTCTTGGTGAATTGTATACACGGAGTTTCCTTGGTAAACATGGAAAGTGGTTTCCTGTTGCCTTCTTTCAGGATGTTGTTTTGACTTCTGACTCTAGCTCACAGTCCTGGATGGCCCCATCCAGGTATTAACCAGAGTCAACCCTGCTTAGCTTTCTAGATCAGCCAAGATCAACCAGGCACACAACCTAATTGGACTTTCCTTTTACTGGACCTGCCAAATAATTTGGTGGGTCAATAAGCTAGCAAAAGAAAAAAGGCCCTTTTATTGTTGGTATTGGTGTTAAAAAGGGACACTTGACCTGCCAGTGGGTGTCAAGTAGACAGGTCAAATTTGGAGGGGGTTACATTGCTTCTGAATAAGTAGTAGGGGATGCCCTTTGGGTTCTGTAGCAAAAGACCAGCAGGGTCTGCACTCTTGTCCCCTTTTCTCTTTGGTTACCTTGGTGATATGCAGGGAGCTGTTGCTAAGCAACAGTTTCAAGTTAACACACAGAGAGAGCAAGAAAAGGCTTTAGCTGTGTTTTTGTGCATGGCCGTCTGCATTTACCTTGATGCTCAGATGCACAAGGTAAGGGCAGTTCAGTCAGAGATCCTTAAAACCAGGATTCAAATATAGAGAAACTGAAGGAGAAGAAAGCTTTCACTACTTTTTCCACCCCAGTATGTAAGGACATACTGGTTTGGAAGGGGAAGAACTGGTTCATATGTTACAAATTGTGCTAATATTCCCTACAAGTGGTAATGTTTTGAATGTGTGCAGGCTTGTAGTCATTTCTATTACCATAGCAACTTCCTTTCCCCCAGAAAGTATCCCTCAGAATCCTGGTTTTAAGGTTGTTGGTTTGTCAATGTAGGTCCCTCATGAGCATTCACATGTCCAATGTAACAGTAACCAAACACATCTTCACAGGAGACCACAGACAATAGCCAACCATTTTGATGCCAGAAATATCCCACTGGAAGCAATATTTTGTACAAGGAGGCTGGAATAAGATTTCAAATTTGATTCAAGCCACTCAGTGAACTCATACTTGTCGTAGCTTTAATCTAAATCCACTAGGTTACCTCAGAAATTTGGAAAGTATTGGATATAGTGCTGTGTGCAGGGAAGAAATTTCCTTTGCTTGACAACTCAACTTCCTTCTGATCAGGTTTGCTTTGAACTTGTCCTGTTTTCAGGTCTCATGTTGAAGGTAATTCTTGCCAGCTAGGATGGATGTGATTGCAAGTCAACTTGGTGCCAATCTCATCTTTTTTTTCTTTTATAATTTAGGCATTCAGTACATTGTCATGAGAATTCACATAGCAGTCTTGCACAAACATGGATCACAGTCTGGTGCTGCTGTTCCCATTTCTCCAATGCAATAGCAATAGCACTTCACAGCCTTCTCTAAGCAGTTTACAGAGTCAGCCTACTGCCCCCAATAACAATCTGGGTCCTCATTTTACCGACCTGGGAAGGACCGAAGGCTGAGTCAACCTTGAGCTGGTCAGAATTGAACTGCTGAACGGCAGGCAGCCGGCAGGCAGCAGGAGTAGCCTGCAGTACTGCATTCTAACCACTGCGGCACCACGGTTCAATCACCAATATACTGTCCAGTTTGCTTATTTTTCAGGCTAGTGGTCTTCTTGGTTCCAAGCCTGCTCAAACTTTGGCACATTAATGTTTAGAAATAAGGACAGTGTGGTCTGGAAATAAATACAAATGACCACTTAGCCCAAAGTGCACGTAACCACAACTGACAGAATGATGGCAAGAATTATAATTGGTTTTTAAAATGGCTGGGAAGTGAACTTCAGTGACCTCAGTGGTTGCAGTAGACTCTTCAAAGTGTATTTTGCATGCAGAGAAGTCTGCAAGTGGCAGGGTGAGGCCGATCTGTTTCCATTGCTGGACATCTTTCATGAATATGCAAATAGCAGAGCCATGTTGCACAGATGTTTCGGTGAATCTGGAAAAGAGCATGGACGCACGCAAGCATCCATGGGTCCATGATGGGATTTTGCTCATTGGTTCATGCATTTTAAATCTATAAAGCCTACCGCCCTCCAGATGTTCTAAACACTATCATTTCTACATCTTTTACAATTAGCCACGTTGGCTATGGCTAATAGGATTTGACGTCTGAATTATCTGAATCAAATTGCTTACCTTGACAGATGAGAAAACATAAATCTACATGTTCAGTGCTGATAGGCAGACCAATGTCTGCATGCTTTTTTTTTTTCTCTTCGTTCTGTTACTAATTTCTAAAAAGAGTGATACTGGTGAAGAAAATTCTGTTTGGGAGCCTATGTTGTCTGACTTCTAATCCTTCTGCAGATTTGTTTTAGTGAGGAAAAATAGCTTATGTATGCTCAGAGACTTTCTCTTCAAGCTTAAACAATTTAAGGAACACAAACGTAGTACTGAGATCTAGTTAAATTTAGACATTTATCCAGTGGTAGGATTCAAATATGTGAACAACCGGTTCTCTGTGTGGATGCCACTTCCGGAAGTCCATTCTGGGCCTGGGCAACAAAAAATTAGCTACCGGTTCTACCGAACTGGTGCAAACTGGCTGAATTCCATCACTGTATTTATCTGATTGTTCCCCTTTCTATGTATGGCAATTTTTCTCTTTGATTTGCTGGTATATCTATGGCCTCTTTATCTCCCCACATACAATCTCTTGCTCTGCATAAATGTCACAATTGGCAAAGATCTTTCCTTCCACCCCCAAGTAACTGAATGCTTTGGAAATTTGGTCAAGCTAAACCTTGGCCACCAACAATGAAGTAATAGTCCAGACTTGTCTCTCGGCAGCTTTTCCAAGGTACCAACACAAACACCTGCCTCTAGTTTCACTTTGTGCATTCCCTGCCACTCAAACCTCTTCTTGAGAGGACACTTTATGCCCTGTTGAGTGCATCCTTTTTCTCTGACACTTGTCCCAAGAACCCCCCCAAGAAGGGGGTTGCACACCCAGTCGCAGCTGCCTTTCCTGTTCTTCCTGGCCCACTGAAAGTAGCACAAAGAACTGGCTGTTGTGCGTGGGAGAGCTGCAGGGTTGAGTGAGTTGTCGCTGTAGAGCAGCTGACGGGACATGAGGAGAAGGAACCCATTGCTGTGTTTCTTTTTAGCATTCCTGCCATCACACTGAGCCCACAATCAAGTATTTGGTCGTGAGTTTCCTGTCTGCTAAGAGAGCTGTAAAGATGTTATTTGACTCTGTGTGGAGATCAAGTGGGAATAGCCTATCGCGTTGGGTGGGTATTGATGGGAACGCAGTGTCCCAAGTGTGAACTGCGAGCCAACATAGTCCAAATTAACATTGCATTTTACGGTGATTGGGAACTTGCTGTGTGAGTGCTGACAAACACTATTTTCTGAAGCTTCTTCTACCTGCAGTGTGGGAACAACCACAGCTGCCTCACACAGCTGTTGTAGGAACTGTAGAATTATACTTACAATTTATTATTAATCTATGTCTATGTCTTTTTTTTTCTTCCTTTTCTTTTTTAGAGGCTGTGGCAAATAGCCAAGAATGGACTCTTAGCCGTTCTATTCCTGAGCTACGCTTGGTAAGTTTGTTCCCCTTTGTTCCTAATTTGTATCTGACTTGTGGTGCCACATGTTTATTCCTTAAACTGCAGCTCTTCAGGACAAGAATCTGTCCTCTGAGGTTTTGGTAAATGACGATTCAACTTGATGGAGTTCATTCAGGAATAGGACTCTGTGACCTTTTTGGAAGTTGACCTACAACTCCCAGAAGACCTGGACAACAAGGGCAATAGTGAAGAGTGCTGGGAGTTGTATTTCAACAGACATCTAGTGAGATACACAATCTCCAGTCTTGGCTAAGGAAGTGACACAAAGCATTATCTATATCTCTTGATCATCTATCTAATTCTGTCTCTATCATCTATCTATATCTGTCATCTATCTGCCTATCATGCAGATTCTCTGATGCAGAGGTCTCCAACTTTTCTCAATTGGCAGACCGGAGGGGAAGGGAGGGGGAAGCATTTTACGCGCACGCACACACACACACAAACAGGGCTGCGAGCACGCACAACGCAAATGGGGCGGTGCTAGTGTCTGCATGACACTCACTAGCACTATCCCATTTTCACCTTGCGGGGCCTCATTTTCGTCACATGGTGTCCTGTTTTTAGCGCATTGTGCCCTGTTTTCACCACGGCAGTGGTGCTAGCACAAATGGGGGTGAGTGCGCGCACTGACCAGCCTGTTCCGTGGCCTGGTAGTGGGCCGCGGACCACAGGTTGGGGACCTCTGCTCTGTTACATAAATGCTGAACTAACACTGATGCTAATACAGGTTGTCCTCGACTTATACCATTCGTTTTGTGTCTGTTCAAAGTTATATCTAGCAGCACTGAAAAAAGTGACCTTTGATTATTTTTCACATGGCTGTTGCAACATCACCATGGTCACATGATAAAAATTCGGATACTTGGCAATTAGCATGTATTTACAATGGTTGCAGTATCCTGGGGTCATGTGATCACCTTTTACAAACTTCTGACAAAGCAAAGTTAATGGGAAAGCCAGATTCACTTAACAACCGTGTTGCTAACTTAACGGCTGCAGTGATTTACTTAACAACAGTGACAAGGAAGGTAGTAAAATAACTCATTTAATAACTGTCTTGCTTAGCGATGGAAATTTTAGGCTCAGTTGGAGTCGTAAGCTGAGGACTACCTGTAATTAAGTCTGAAGTAATTGATATATAATGGTACTTTTGTAGCTGGTTTGACCTCAGAAAAGAATGATGGAATGGGTGGGCAGATGAACGGGTAGCAAGCATTGCTTCTTCTTTAGACTTTTCTGTTCCCTGCGCTGCTTCTTATCACTCCTCAAAAGCAAAGGATTGAAGAATAGGATCTTTCCAGATTTGATTACAAATTGATTCAATCCTGGATTCATGTTAGGACTGAAACTTAGGCTTAGTTTTCCGCAAATATCCTCGCATCCCACAGCTTATTAAAATATGCTTTACAGTGCATATGGGAGTGGAAATATTGTGAATATCAATAATAAATAACAGCCAGTTGGTCTAGTGCAGGGGTAGGCAACCTTGGCTCTTTTATGACTCGTGGACTTCAACTCTCAGAATTCCTGAGCCAGGAATTCCTGCTGACTCAGGAATTCTGGAAGTTGAAGTCCACGAGTCATAAAAGAGTCAAGATTGCCTACCCCTGGTCTAATGGTTTAGGCACCAGGATAGAAACCAGAAAACTGTGAATTTTAATTCTGCCTTAACATGAATGCTGGCTGGCTAATTTGGGGCCAGTCACTCTTTCTGAACTTATCTCACTTCAAAGGGTGGCTGTTGTGGGGAAAATAGGAAGAGGAAGGAGTATGAGATATGTTTGTCACCTTGAGTTACAGTATTTTAAAAAATGTAAACAACAATAACACTGACCAGAATGAAAAGATTTGCCTGTTGGGACTTCTTACTGGGTTTTTTTTCCACTTTTATAATTTTATTCATGTGTAATATAAAACATGGAAATAGAAAAGCAAATAGTAAGGGAAAACAATAGGGAAAGGGGACAAAGAGAAGTGTGGAGAAGGGGAGGGAAAGAAATAAAAGGCGTTGACTTCCCACTCCCTCTGTTGCAGTAAAATAAGGCATTAAAATTGAATCTCAGCTTTTTACATTTATATAGTAGTATGAACTAGCCATTTCTATTATCAACAAATCAGTCTAATCAGTAAAACCTAAGATCATAGTATCATTTTTTTCCACCTCAAGCACAAAGTCAGAAGTGATTTCCGAGTAGAAACAAAAGTACTTACATTCTTTTCTTTTATCAAAACAGTCAATTTAGCCATCTCTGCTAATTTCATCAGCTTTTGTGACCATGGTGGGAATCGAAACAGCCTTCCATTTTTGTGCATAGAGCAGTCTTGCTGCCGTCACCATGTATAAAATCAAGAGTTCCCCCAAAAATTTCCATTAGACCCAGAAGGAAAGTTTCTGTTTTAATCTTTATGTCCACTTTTAGAATTTTCTGCATTAATGTATGAATCTCACTCTAGTATTTTTTTTTCCCTTTATCACATGTCCGGGACTTCTCATTCTTGAGAACTGCAGACTTGGGGATGAACTATAATTTGGGGGTGAAGAGTAAAGCCCCCGGGTGGTGAGGAAACAGGTCCTTAGGCAGCCTGCTTTGATCTCATATCACCCATTGGAATTGAACTGCAGCTCCTGTCACTCCCAGCCAGCATAGCTACAGGCTCTACTCATGCTGGCTAGCATTTTGATGGCAGTTGTCCTCCAATGACTCAATGAAAAGCATTGAAGTTGAGAAAAATGCTGCCTTAACAGCTCCAAAAAGCCAAGGGCGGTGAGTTTCATCCTGAAGTGACTTGTGTTCTTCAACCTCCACAGGGTGTTCTTGGTACCATCAAGAGTGGCAAATCAGCCCTGGTTCACCGCTACTTGACTGGCTCCTACTTGGGCCTTGAACCTGCAGAAGGTGAGCTCCGTTACCTCTCCCCAAACAAGTGTCCTTCTCTGTGGCCCAGCCTTCATTCGGCCCCTTGGGGTTTTTCTTTTCCTCACAAAGCTCAAACACTGGGAAGCCCAAAGGGGGACAGTGGGAGTGTGTGAATGGAGAAAAATAATATCTTGCATTTAGATATGGAATGTAAAAAGTTAGAGAAAACCTGCAGGACCTCTAGACCAGTGGTGGCGAACCTATGGCACGGGTGCCAGAGGCGGCACTCAGAGCCCTCTCTGTGGGCACGTGCGCCGTCACCCCAGTCCTAGGCCTTCAGCTGGGTTTTATAAAACCTTTTCGCTTTAGGCCTCCGCTGCCGTGTACAAAAAAAACAACGGTTCAATCAATCAGTCAATTTCAATTTCTTGTGGAAAAAAAAAAGATCTTGCAAAGTTGGAATTGATTGATTGAACTTTTTAGTCCCACCCAATCTGCTGTTACCACCGCAGCCATGCCCACCCAATTGGCCACACCCACCCACTGGGCCATACCTACCCGGCACCCGACGATGCATAAGTGGGTTTTGGGTTGCAGTTTGGGCACTCGGTCTCTAAAAGGTTACTGCTCTAGACTCTTTCCCACCTACTTAACAGAGTCATATGACTAGGAGGGAGGCGGGCTTGGAATGCTTCCATAGAGATAGATGCTCCCAGGGATTTTATTATTTTTTTCCCTCCACACCTTTTGCCTGATTCTGGCCCATTTTTTAAAAACTCAATCTTTCTTTTACTGACTTTCCCCCTTTGTTCAGCTTTGGTTCCATTCTGTTCTTTTGGGGAGAGAATTTCTGCTGGCAGGCAGGCAGGCACCTAAGAGTCCTGAATCTCTCTGCATAGTTTCTTCCAAATATTTCATTAGGTTGGAAAGAAAAAGAGAGGGACAGCCAACTTCCTTTTCACTCTCAGCCATAATTGCTCAGAGGGTGATTTGGGGTAATTTATATCAGCCCACCCCTTCCTGGTTGGGGACAGGGGAAGGGAGGGGGTGGAATTGAGGACAGAGCTATACGCATCTTGCCCTGAGCAGCTCTCAAAGAAAAAAACCTTAACGTAAATCTAATAAATCAATATATGCATAAATATTTCGCCTTCTATTTTTCAGGGGGCCAGTTCAAGAAAGAGGTGGTGGTGGATGGGCAGAGCCATCTGTTGTTGATTCGAGAGGAAGCTGGGCCACCAGATGCTAAGGTACGACTCTCTCACTGGCCTAAAGCTTGCAGTAGGCCGAGACCGTCCTAGAGCACTTTAGTAATTTGTGATCAGTTGTAGTTGATCCTGCTTTAAATGGCAGGACTTGATTTATGGAACAAGCTTATTTTGTTGTAGCAATGTTTCCCCTCACCCGGGGACCTGGGAATTGTAATTCTGAAGAGGGGAAACAGATTTAGTTTGACGTTTACAGCTATGCTGACCAGGTTAGAACGTGCATTCTTAGCCCTGGGTCGTCCCATGAGCTATCTGAGTCAAATGAGCTCCTTCAGCTGGCTGGTAGTTAACACAATCTTCCCCACGAACTGCAACTCACAGTGCCCAAGCTATCACCCAATGTGTTAGGGCAAGAAGACTCTTTTCAATCCAAATTGTAATGAAGGGACAACTGTTGCATGCAGGGAGGTCACAGCTGTAGAAATAAATTGATATTCTGTCTTCTGTGGGCTGCTTCACCTCGCCTTTAAAAAGTTCTCCCCCATTTCAGCAGTTATATTGAAAATAGAATAGAATAACAGAGTTGGAAGGGACCTTGGTGGTCATCTAGTCCAACCCCCTGCTCAGGCAGGAAACCCTACACCAGGGGTAGGCAACTTTGGCTCTTTTATAACTCATGGACTTCAATTCCCAGAATTCCTGAGCCAGCTATGCTGGCTCAGGGATTCTGGGAGTTGAAGTCCATGAGTCATAAAAGAGCCAAGGTTGCCTACCCCTGCCCTATACCATTTCAGACAAATGGCTGTCCAATCTCTTCTTAAAAACTTCCAGTGTTGGAGCATTCACAACTTCTGGAGGCAGGTTGTTCCACTGGTTAATTGTTCTAACTGTCGGGGGGGGGGGAAACCCTTTAATACCATGAGAAGTTTTTATAATTTTTTTTTATAAAAGGAATTTTCGGTACTGCTTATAAACATTTCAATTGCAAATTTGAATGAAATACAGATAGTTCTTGATTTACAACCATTCATTTAGTGACTGTTCAAAGTTATAACGGCACAAAAAAAGGTGACTAATGATGGGTTTCCACACTTACAATTGTTGCAGCATCCCCTGTGGTCCCGTGATCAGAATTTGGCCATTGGGCAACTGGCATATATTTATGACAGTTGTACTGTCCTGGAGTTATGTGATCACCATTTGTAAGCTTCCCAGCCAGTTTCTGAGAAATAAAAGTCAATGGGGGAAGCCAGATTTGCTTAACGACTGCAGTGATTCACTTAACAACTGTGGCAAACAAATGGGTTCAATGGGTTCAATTCACCTAACAATAGTCTTGCTTAGCAAGAGAAATTTCAGGCTTAATATAGTATTGATTGTAAGTTGAGAACTACCTGTACTCACTAATCTGGGAATCACAATGCAGTGCTGTGGGCACCACAGAATCTGTCCAGTCTTAGAATGAAGCCACAACCTCCTACAATTATTAGATTAGAATTAATTCGAAACAATTACAAAGGCTCAAATCTTGCAAAATCATTAAGTCTCCTGATGATGGAACCTGGACCTGAAATGTTTGTTGTCTCCTGTCAGTGAAATGACTGCCCACACTTTCTATTTAGGACCAGCCCTATTCTCAGAGAATGAAGAGGCAACCTTAGGCAATCGGTGCTGGGATATAACAAGGTCTTAAGAGGATAGCATTCTGTATGCCTCGTAGTTTGCCTTAACCGGAAGTAAAGTTCCTGGTACCTTCCAGATGTTTTGGACTCCCAATAGTTTGCCATTAACCATACTGGCTAAGGTCGATAGACATTGGAATCTGAAACATCTGGAGTTTGCTTACCGCTGCCCTAAATTAATTTCTTTTGAGATATCTCCACTCTGTACGCACGGAGACCTCTAGACATATGCAGACCCATTTGAATTTTCCCCCCTTCAAAAAGTGGGAAAATTGTGGAATGATTTACAGATCTTCACATGTGACCTGTCCGTATCAGGGTTTTTCAAACTTCTTCAGGTTACAGAAACTATTCCCTCCCCCCCCAAAAAAAACAAAACAAAAACTAGAGCGATTAATCATGAGGCATCGATGTAGTGACTGAAAAGCCCTTACTCTCTCATGGAAGCCCATGAATCTCTTGCAGAGTCCTAGGTTCTGTGAAACATGCACTTTGGAAAATTCTGATCTACATCATCGCTTATCTTATCTTTGCCAAAGCATTTCGGTGGGATAATCTGGAGGTGTTGGGGGCCATGGGCTGAAGTGTCTGGTACAAGAGGACATGCACATTCACTCCTCCACCCTACAGATCAGAGTTTCAGCCCAGGAACTGTCTGCCTGTGTGTTTCAAGCAGCTGTTCTTTTTCTCAGCTTGCTTACTACTACGGTCTGGGAAAGGCTCAAATTATTCAAAGATGGAAGAATCTGGAAATTACAGCCCACTTGAAATCCTGGCAGTTCTGTCAAAAGGCTACCCCATGTTTAGCTCACATTGGAAGCAAGCTCTTCTCGTTGCAAGAGAAATTCTGCAGACCCAACCAGACTTGATGGGACCAGCCATGTCTGCCATTCATTCAGTTGTCTGGCTCATTCATGTAAAAAGAAAAGATGGTAGAAGTGTGTCTGGTTTTCTTTCCAAAGGAGGGTGTGAGTGAGAGGAGCTCATTTATCACCCCAACTCTTATTAATCAGCCAGGCTAGGAGCAAAGTGTCTTGGGCAACTGCAGATAAGGAGGACAGGAGAAGAAAGGTCTCAAACCTCTTATCATGCATTCCCTTTTAATTTAAAATTGGATATCTCCCCTCCAGCTTACGGATAAACAAGCATGTCGGTATATAAAATCCGTGTCATTTTAACTCCCTGCAGCACTAATTGTGGGAATCAAGAAATAAAAGTTTCAGAAACAAAAGAAATAACCAACTTGGTCCTGGTGGTTTAAAGTGCTAGACTATAAAATAAGAGACGGTGAGTTCTAATCCCGTTTTAGGGATGCGAGGCGGCTGGGAGATTTTGGGCCAGTCATTCTCTCTCAGTCCAACTCATCTCACAGGGTTATTGTTGTGGGGAAAATAAAAAGAGGGAGGAGGAGGAGTAGGTATGCTGCCTTGCGTTATTTGTAAAAATAAAAAAGGCAGAATTAAAATGAATAAATGCTTGGCTTGATGTAAAATACTCAAATCTTTGTTTTTAATCATCTCTCTGGTTGGGGAGAGTTTGGAGCCAGCATCATTGTCTCATTCCCAGGCCTATTCTGAGTGAGTAATAAAGACAAATAAATGGAACTGCCTGGTACTGATCTTTCCCATTTTTTTTCTTCCCCCTTGCAGTTCGCCAATTGGGCCGATGCCGTCATCTTTGTCTTCAGTCTGGAGAATGAGGCCAGTTTCCAAGAGCTGACTCAGTTCTACGGGCTTCTCACCAACTACCGTGCCGTTTCCGACATGGCTCTTGCCCTGGTGGGCACTCAGGGTGAGTGGGGAGAGGGTGCCTCTCTTCAGGAAGTGGACTCTGAGGGCTGCAGAAGATGTTGAGGTAAAGGAAGCAGAGCAGGGGCCTATGGCCAGCTGGGAGTTGTTTAAATAAAACAAGTCAAATCTCCAGGTCGAGAGATTCTGTGGGCTTGGTTTTCCGCTTTATTCATTACTAAGTCAATTGTTCGTCCTTTGGCTCTTCGTTGACTGTTTGGGTTACAAAAAGAGTGGATGACTTTTTTCCCATCCATTCAGCACCTACCTTTGTGGAAGAGCTGTGGAGTTCTGATTCTGTGTGAAGAGCAGTGAAAATGGATCCAAGAGGCTACATGGAATTAATGCAAAGTATTTATATAAATGATTTAGTAAAAAGATAGGGCAAGAGATTAAGTACTATTAGCATGGAAAATGAAGGCATCACATAATGGATTGAATGTGTAGCTGAGCTCCATTGAATGAATCGTTAGAGTGAAGCACTCTGCAGTGCTCTGTTTGTATTGCTTGTTCACAACTGGCACTGTTCACTCTTTCCTGGAGAGGCACGGATAGTCTTCTGCCAGGGTGCCCCAGAATGATGAAGCTGCTCTCCAGCATTATTTAAATATTCTTTTCTCAATTAATCAATTTGCAGTTCTATTTAAAAACACTTTGAAATATGTGCCATATAATTGAAATTCTGTGCTCTCGGATATTTTCATATATATATATATATATATGATAGCTTCCCCCTTGTGCTAATTATGGATAGCTCTGTACCGCAAAGGTCTTTACTCATGTTTGATCACTGGAAATCCCTGTGCAGTTTATGAGGTTCTACAATCCACTAATAAAAAGGAGCGATCTACCTCCATTTCCTGAATATTAGTACAATAATAGAATACTGCATGTAGATTCCTGACTGTTCTGTAGTGGGATTAGAGACCTCACTTTGATCTAGGAATTCCATTTAGCATTCAGGACATCTGCAGCTACTTAGCAGTGACCCAGTGCCCTAGTATTTCCCAGACACTGAAGTGGGTTTGGTAATGCCTTGTAAAGGCTTTAACTTGGATCCCTTCCAAAGAAGCCAGTATGATCCTTCAAGGCAGACTGCATAGAAGCGAAATTAAGTCCAAACAGGTTTATTATTTCTAGGTCACACGTCCACCTGTGCCAAAGTGCTGCTGACAAGAGCTGGACTGGAGTAAGGAGGCACACTGAGTAGTTCAGGAACCAAGAGGGAAGCAGAGAGCAGGAGAACAATAGCCAAGCGGAATACTTTGAAAACTCATAGCAGGGATGGGCCAGCAGGCAAAATATGCATCTCGTTCATATAAAGCAAAATGTATGCTGTCCTCTTGCTGGTTTTAGAGCACCCTCAGCTACACATATTTTAAAAGCTTACAGAATGAGAATAATGCAAGAATGTAGTTTTTGTCCGAACAAAGTCAACGTGGCCCGGGTGTTAATAAACCAGAGAAATAATTTTTTTATCGCAAGGTCACTTGAAGAAACCTCTGTTGATTACCCTGCATTTCTTTCCACTTGAAACACAGAGGCGGGATTATTTTTATTTTTTTTTCCACTCAGACAAAATCAGTGCCAGCAATCCACGTGTGATTGAAGATTCCCGAGCCCGGGCTCTGTGTACAGAAATGCGCCGTTGCCTCTACTATGAGACCTGTGCCACTTACGGGCTGAATGTTGATCGGGTCTTCAGTGAAGGTGAATATCTTCCTAGAATGTATTTTGAGTAGGTAGCAGTGGTTAGAATGCAGTACTGCAGGCTAATTCTGTTGACTGCCGACTGCCAGCAGTTCAGCAGTTTGAGTCTCACCGGCTCAAGCTGACTCAGCCTTCCATCCTTCCGAGGTGGGTAAAATGAGGACCCAGATTGTTGGGGGCAGTAGGCTGACTCTGTAAACCGCTTAGAGAAGGCTGTAAAGCACTGTGAAGCGGTATATAAGTCTAAGTGCTATTGCTATTCCTAGAAGAGAGGGAGGCCAGGTTGTATTTCATGGCAATAAAAACAGGGTCATGTGAACAAACTTTCTTCCCAGCATATAAACTCTGCAAGTAGTATGGAAAGTATAATCTATCTTTGATATTTTACTCTTGATGTGATGGGTTCCTGTTGTCTGCTGCAGAAGTGATAAATCATATTAACATGGCCCACACGCCCAATAGTACTTGCACATTTTCTGCCTCTTTAGGTTTTTCTATTGGGGGTTTAAATTTCTCCCATCCATTAGTTCAAGTTCGTATGATGGGTTTGGGATGTCACTCCTCCCCCCCCTCCCCCCCCCAAAAAAAAGTATGCTTGTTTTGTTATTTCCAAGGAGTTGCTTCTTACATTCTAAGCCTGGGAAAAGTTCAATACACATGATACAGCTAGACCGTGAGATTGTGAACCTGACCTGGAGCTGCTCCTTCTCTTCTAACTCTTGTGCTGAATTTGCACTCTAGCAGCCCCCTGAGAACTATCACTTTCAGAGGAAATGCTCCTGTCATAAAATATTGAGACAAGCTGCTAATGCTGTACAGGTGGGGGCTTCAGACTGACAGTTGCAGAGATAAGACACTGTAGGTAAGTTACCGGCCTGCATAGGGTTTCATTCCTGCAATGGCAACTCTGCTGTTTCCCCAAGTGTTTTTGGTTTCAGGATGTTTATAAAGCGCAAGAACAATCAGCTTGATATTGTAAAGGATATGAGACTTGCCTATTTATGGTATAAGCCATGATTGCAGGGAAGAACATCTTCAGCATGTGTCTATGTGAGTGAGGCTAATCACACTGTGTTTTATTTTAACCTGATCATTATCTTCCCATCAGGGACCTTTCACAGAAGGACACATATGATCCGTCCCACGCATATGACTATGTTCTCACATACTTCCCTCTAGTACAAGATCACAACACATTGAAGTGATAATTGCTGGATTGGGTTCACAGAGTGAGTGGGTTGAGTACCAACAATGTGTTCAGTTTGTGACCAGGTTCTTAAGGGGGAAACAATTACGGTTTGGAAAAGAATCCCTATTCTCTTATGACAGATCTCTCCATTACTCTTGGATGGGGCAGTTGGAGAGCCACCATTTGACTTTCCAACATCTCTCTTTCTCTCTCTCTCTTTCTCTCTCCCCGTTCCAGTTGCCCAGAAGATTGTGAACATGAAGAAACAGCAGCAGCTCCTCGCCTCCTGCAAATCTTTGCCCAGCACACCCAGCCATTCAGCAGTTTCTACACCGGTGGGTGGAACCTACTTTGTACAAACACAGGCTGTGCCTTTTTCTTCCTTTCAGGAATCATGTTGCTTCAGAAGGGTATAAATGTTCCAGGTCCTCAGCATCTTAGAAGGATCTTAGTTTTGGTCACCACGATGTAAAAAAGATGTTGAGACTTTAGAAAGAGTACAGAGAAGAGCAACAAAGATGATTAGGGGACTGGAGGCTAAAGCATATAAGGAACGGCAGCTGGAATTGGGTATGTCTAGTTTAATGAAGAGAAGGACGAGGGGGGACATGATAGCCGTGTTCCAATATCTCAGGGGCTGCCACAAAGAAGAGGGAGTCAAGCTATTCTCCAAAGCGCCTGAAGGCAGGACAAGAAGCAACGGGTGGAAACTAATCAAGGAGAGAAGCAATCTAGAACTAAGGAGAAACATCCTGACAGTGAGAACAATTAACCAGTGGAACAACCTGCCTCCAGAAGCGGTGAATGCTCTAACACTGGAAGTTTTTAAGAAGATACTGGACAGCCATTTGTCCGAAATGGTATAGGATTTCCTGCCTGAGCAGGGGGTTGGACTAGATGACCTTCAAGGTCCCTTCCGACTTTACTATTATTATTATTATTATTATTATTATTATTATTATTATTATTATTATTATTATTATTATTATTATTATTATTATTATTAAGAAGCGGGCTTTGTGTAAATATCTCTTCTCAGATATTTAAATCACTTTCATGTAGGCCCAGTGCAAAAGGTGAAAAGGGGGTCCAAAGGACCAGCGGATTGGAGCAGTGTGTGCCTGTGGTGCAATTGCAGTGCCAGCCAGTTGCGCCGGCAAAATAATGAAACAAATTGGAGTGAAGCATTGTGGCTTTGCGACAGACAGACTGCACGTGGGCTGCAAAGGATTTGGATCATGTGATATAGTTACTCAGGTGTGAGAAGTATCCTTAAACTTAGCTGCCATAATACCAGTTAGGTAAAGTTTGAACTAGAAATGCTAAATGATATTTTAAAAAAAAAAAAAAAATTAAAGACAAAAAAATCAAAAATCAATTTTGGGATTAACGTAAAAAAAATATAAAACAAACAAAACCAAAAACCAAAACTGACCTCTTGCAGTTCATGTGCCTTCCCATGGAAATACTTCTTTAGATTGTCTGCCTGGCAGATGGGAAGAGTAACAGGGTTAACAAGGTTGTGGTGTTTGATCAAGGGTTGTTCTAGGGCAGCGGTTCTCAACCTATGGGTCGCGACCCCATTTGGGGTCGATCAACCATTTCATGGGGGTCGCCAAGCAAGGCTGTCTGCCATTTTTTTTGTCCGCCATTTTTTTCCCCCTTTTCCGGCGGGTGCCTTACCTCCCTTGGGCTGAGCCAGCTGGTGGTCGGCCTGCTCCGTCTCTGCCGTTTGCCAGCTACGCCTCGGCCGGCGCAGGGGGCGGAACCACGCATGCGTGGCGCTCCCGGGCAGGGAAAGTCCTCGACTTACGACCGTTGGGTAGTCCTCGACTTACGACCGGTTTAGTCCTCGATGTACGACCGGTTGGGGGTCGCGGCATTAAAAAGGTTGAGAACCACTGTTCTAGGGTAAATCTGCGCACTATGTAGAGATGTGAAAGCTTGAAGGAAAATAGAAGTGGGAGAAAAAAATGCTGGCTTTTTTTTCCCCCCAAGAGGTATGAATGAAAGGAAGATCAAAAACTGGAAGAGTATTTTCCCCTTAACCTTTCCAGTTTTGTTTTTGGCTTGCTGGTTTTTGTTTTTTTAAGGGGTGAATTGCATCTCTAGCTTTATGTCATCATTGGAAGAACCCAACAAAAAGAAAAACTCCCATAGAGACTTGTACAGCCAAAGATGCCAATAGATGAAAGACCAATTATGCCTTAAATGGCTTCCGTTTTCCCTAACTCTGACCCTGTGCAAGGTCAAAGACAGTCATAACTGCTATGAGTGTGTTGTTAAAACAGCCATAGCTTTCCAATCCAATATAAGGCTGCCTAATTGTCAAACACTCAAGAAGGCAGCACATCTTAAAAACACAATATAATAGTAAAGAAGAGCCCAAACTAGCAGTTTCTATGCAAAGTTAATGTGACAATCCCTGCCTCTTAGATATTTGCCTTTGATTCAGTGGCAGTTCTATGAAAGCAGATGCCGTGGTCTGCCTTTTCTCCCATGGGGCAAGGAGAGCCTATTGCTGGGGTCCATGGGCCCCACAGCAACAGGCAGGAACACTTTCAAAATATTGGAATGGAATAGAATAGAATAGAATAGAATAGAATAGAATAGAATAGAATAGAATAGAATAGAATAGAATAGAATAGAATAGACCTTGGAGGTCTTCTAGTCCAGCCCCCTGCTCAGGCAGGTGAACCTATACCATCTCAGACAAGAGGGCATTAGTTTGAGGGCATGAAGGAATAACGATAATGATGATCATGGCAGGAACTTGCTACATGTGTTTAACGCAAATATTCTTGAGCTCAGACAGCAGACAGAACGGCTGAAAATATTTTGGGAAGCAGCTCTGTCTTTTGGAGACATCTTGATAGCCCATGATCATACCGACTGAGATTTGGCAAACGACAAATGAAATGCGAAAATACTTCCTAGACTGTACAGGTAGTCCTCGACTTACAACAGTTCATTTAGTGGGTCGTTCAAAGTTACAGCGGTGCTGCAAAAAGCGACTTGTGACCATTTTTCACAGCTGCGACCTTTGTAGCCTCTCCCACGGTCACGTGACCAAAATTCAGGCGCTTGGCAACGGGTTCATACTTTTGACCGTTGCTGTGGCCCCAGGTCATGTGATCCCCTTTTGCAACCTTCTGACAAGCAGAGACAATGGGGAGGCCCGATTCACTTAACAGCCGGGTTACTAACTTTTATCAACTGCGGTGATTCACTTTACAACTGTGGCGAGAAAGGTTGTAAAATGGGGCAAAACATATGTCTCACTTAACGACAGAAATTTTGGGGCTCAGTGGTGGTCGTACGTCGAGGACTATCTGTATTGCACTAGGTTACACTTGATGATTGGCTGAGCGAACGCTCACGCGTGTTTAGAACAAAGTAGAATTATGTCTGAACACCTGGAAACCAAGACGGTCACTCTCACACTGGTGCTCTCCTCCTTCCCTTAGGCATAAGTCTTTCTGGATTCTTTTCTAGGCAAGTAATGGGGGCCATACAAGCGACTACTCTTCATCCCTTCCTTCCACACCCAATATCAGTCACCGGGAGCTGCGCAGTGAGGCTTCAGCTATAATTGGCACACCCAGCTCCCTGCAGCGAGGGACCAAACGCCGGACCAGCCTGTTCACCGTGAGTTTCTCCCAGAAGTTCCTCAGAATGGAAGAATAAGGAGAGAAAGCCAAGGGCTGGATGACCTTTAACCAGGTTAAACGAGACACAGTCATTATAAGGGAGTTTGGCCAGGTTTCAGCTGTTCATTGATTTATCCAGGGTGAAAAAGAGCTGCTTTCCTCTCCTAGTCATTTAGGCAGGGCTTTGGGATGAATTTATCTCTGCCCGCATTCCTTGTAGAAGGCAGCTTCCAATCCTGATAGCTCTTTTCTGGATTCTGTGGTCTCCTACAGAACCCTCTTTTCAAAGACGATCTAACGAGAGACAAGCTCAGCAGCTGAGTTTTCACAGCAAGGCCAGTTTACAAAAGTGCTGAGCTTGACCAGTTTTCATCTGGGTAAGGTTTGTGTGGGGCCGTAGAGTATTGTACAAGCCAAGCCTGTTCGGCTACTTTATTGTTCAATGTGTAGTACACAACCTAGAAAAATGATTAATTAAGTAATCAAGTATGGTGTGAAGTTGTCTCCATCATTCCTGGTATCCAAAATTCTTGAAGCCTCTTTCTTTAATGCCTCTTGGCCCGTTCCTAGCTTGGCGCCTTTTAGAGGTCAGATTCCTGTATCAGCATCTGTGATGCTTATTATTTAGTCAAAGCACTATCCGTTTTTAAAAAAACTGTTCCTGGGACATGTGGCATTTCTCAGATTCTTCTTAGGAGGTCTCAAGAAAGAAAGAAAGAATGCTGATGATTCAAAAAAAAATCTTTTTTACTGATATGGCAACTTGCTCATTACCATCATTCTCTCTCGGCAATGCACGCAATTGAAAAGTGTTGGGTTTCGTCAATTCACATAAGTCAGTGGTAGACAAGTAAATATTATCCCGAAAGCATGGAGGGAGGGGGAATGTTTATCAAAGGAAGTTTCCGTAAAAACAATTCATAAGTTTGCACTCTAAAAGGTATCCTAAGGCTACAGCCATTACATGCACACCTAGGATTAAGTCTTGCTGAAGCCCAGTGAAAAGAAAAACGCACTTCAGTCGGAACCTACACATTGAGATTTCAGAAGTAGGCAACATATGCACCTTTTTCAATTCCCATCGTCCTTTTCACTTTCAGGTACAGCTCACAGTGAGAGGAAGTGAGACATGTTCCAGATCCAACATCTAGAGAATCACATGTGCCCTGACTGATAAAATTTCTGAGTTAAGACGATGCTGTTTTAAGCTAGGGAAAATCCAAGCTGGTGCCCTCCTTTGGCTAGGGCCAATGTAAGCCAAAGTTCAGAAATATGTATATATTGTATTGCAATGTGTACCCCATTTTTAAAGGGCTTCAGTTTGAATTCTTTTTTATAGAAGTGTCTCCCGATAAAGGGCACCAACACAGCATATTGGGCACTATATTGATTTGTGCAGCTATGGCTTGTCCAGTAAATCATGGTTAAATAAAGCCATAGTTCAGTGCAATCCATAAAGTCAGCCAAGATATTTGAATTGTGCCCTTGTAGAATCGCAGAGGGAGTGACACAGAGAAGCGGAGCCTGGATAGCCGAGGTGACAACACAGGCAGTGGGAGAGCTATACCCATCAAACAGGTAAACCTTCCAGTTTGGCTTGAGCACTGTTTGTCAGTCCTCTTAATGCTTTGCCATAGCAAAGGAAAGCACAGAGCAATCTTCATTAAGTCTGAAATGCTACCCAAAGATTGCTTCATTTTTCCAAGCTTTGGGGGATTGTTCTGGATCGTATAACTCTATGTAACCCTAACTAGAGAGCATGTATCTGTATGTTAGAATATCTGGCATTTATTGGGTTAAGTGCTGTCTCCTTAAGAGATGGCTTATGGGAAATGTAGTTTTAGCTAGTCAGTCATCCCATGTTAATGGGTCAGTGGGAGGAGTTTCTAAAGGGCATGGGGAGACTTCCTGGACACAAGCCAGATTGGAATGTCTTTGTCTAAGGAGAAGCATGGGCCATCGGATGTCACCCGATGACCCTGTTCCGCTATATGGGAATGAACAGAGATGTATTTTCCAGAAGTCACCAGCATAAATGCAAGTAATCTCTCTGAATAAATATATTTTTGTTATGAAATTATTCCTATTGAGTTTAACTATCTGACCCGGGTTTACAACGCAACTTAATTCTGGGTCAGAATAGTGAGAAGATAATGCTCTCTCCATACCATCTTTATAGCATACAGATACATACAGATAACATACAGATACATGCTCTCTAGTTAGGGTTACATAGAGTTATATGATCCAAAACAGGAATTTTTATTTTATTTTTCTTGCCTACACTTGTGTCTTCCCTCCTGTCCTCCCAGTCAAAGCTGTTTTCTAAAACATCTTTTTCTAACTTTGCTTCAGCTTTTCAAATATTGTTGCGGCTTTCCTTCCTTCCTTCCTTCCTTACCTGTTTTTAATTTACAGTGTTTGGGCTTTGGTTTCAATCTTAGTGTTTTCTCGTACTGTGTAAGCAGTCCCAGCAGCTTTGATTTTAGGGTAAACAAAACAACTGAAACCGTGGCTTGGCTAAATGACCATTGTGTCTCCTGGTAGAGCTTCTTGCTGAAACGAAGTGGCAATTCTCTGAACAAGGAGTGGAAGAAAAAGTATGTCACTCTGTCCAGTAACGGTCTTCTCTTCTACCATCCCAGCATTAATGTAAGTTCCTTGTCAGTAGAACAGTGTGTGTCATGTGTCATATGTCCCTAGGTGTTCTGATCTGATTCACAGAATAAGCAAATTGGTAGGATTTTGATAGGAGCCTTTGGGAGAAAAACATGACCCTCGAAATGAACTGGCTGATTTCAGCTATAGGAAGCATGTATCATCCGTGCCCATTACTTTTTCTGCCAGGAAGAGAGCTACTAAAACCTTGTAGTACAGCCTGTCCTCAAGGTAGCACCTTTTAGAAGTGTTGGACTTCAGTTCCCATAATCTCTGGCCATCCTATTTTTCCTTATTATAATTACACTATATTCGTCATAAAGGATCGGTGTTGTATTACACAGCATGGATTCTCCTTGTATTCCATGGGAATTTGGGGATAGGTTTATCCAAGGCAAGAGCTCTTTTAGAGGAAAATAACCTCAAATATATTACTGTGTGCTTCCTTTCATGGATCTCTTAGATCAAAACGGATTGAGGGATAGAGTGAAAAAAATCTTTGATTTGTGAAATGTGCAAGTTATCGTTTGGATTTAACTCCTCTCCCCAGATCCACTTTCTTCCGCCTTTCTTCATCTGATGTCAAACTCCAGGATAGCTGGGAATGGTGGAAGTTGTAATCAAATACATCCAAATGCGCAAAGATAAGAAAGGGTTGTTCTAGGGCTTGTCATTTTTTCTGCACGATAAATTGCCCTAAACACTAGGTGGGAATAGCATCTGACATGACCCGAAAAGGAATACAGGTTCTAGACACCTTCGCAAGTTGAACCGTGGAATCAGGCTGGCTAAGAATTCCGAAGTATGACCATTTCAAAGGCCATGCTTGGGTGGTCTCCAACTTCCTAAGTCTCCCCACCTGTTCTTCCTGCCTCCCCAGGATTATATCCATGGAACCCACGGGAAAGAAATGGATCTCCTTCGTACCACCGTAAAAGTCCCTGGCAAACGCCCACCCAGAGCCATCTCTGCCTGTGGTGCCTCCTCAAGTATCAATGGCCTGGTGAAAGACATGAGCAGCGTTGGAGTTGGGGACAGCAGTAGTAAGTGGGCTGTGCTATCTCAGGCAAAATAGACATAGGGAGAGAGGACCCTGGTGCTGGCTGGCAGCACTAACGTGAAAAGGGCTGCCAAGCTGAGTGGCAGGGCACTCTTACTGTGGCAGTGAGAACTAAGAGCCTGGTAAAAGAGCCAAAGGAGGAATACTACAAGCTATTTGCCAGCCTAGGTGTGTATATAATTACCATTTGCTAATTCACACTGTGATTCGTGGTGATGCCTTCATTTACAGTTTTCTGTGAAAGAGTAAGGAGGGAGAATCCCCACACTCTTTCTCCTCCTCTCCTCCTTTTGCACTACAATGTGCTAGTAGTATGTATTTGGGGAGATTGTCAAGTCATCACACTTTTGTGATTGTCAAAGTGTCATCACACTTTTCTTTAAATGTTTTCTGCTGAAAATACGATACGGAATGGCATCTCTAAGGACAGCTATTTTGACTGTCTCCTCTTTCACACAAATTTGGCAAATGAATGATCCAAAAACCATTGGCTTTCCTGGCCTTTGGCCATTATTGCAGATTTCTCCTACTACACGGGAAAAAAAATTATAATCAAATAGCAGTTATTCTGATTAATGTTCAATCTGGACCATTAGCTGAACATCAAACCAACATCGAATTTGACATAACATTCCTAATGCTTCCTGTTTCAACTACAACATTTATTAACGTAAGCTGGAAAGCCATGTGTTGTTACCCCTCGCTCCAGTGCAGAAATTGTGCACAATATAATAATCCAATAGTGACATCTACAGGAGGCCTTCCCATTCAGTAGAGGCTGGAACATTGGGAAAATGAAGAGTCATCTCAAATGGCCTCCTGTTTTTGCTGTCTTGTTCATGGGTGGTAAAACTGGGGACTGTTTGGCCACGGATAAGACTGAGCCGTGGGCTCAGTCCAGGCCGCTTTGCTGAGAGATAATGGTCCCTTCCCTCCTGGCTTTTAGAAAGTCCATTAAAACCTGCCCGTTCCATGAGACTGGAATGTTATTCCTGTTCCCTCTGATGAGGAAGAGTTATTTTAATTTTTGCTTTATTGATTGTGGGTATTTAAATATTTTTTTTCTCTTTTTCCTATTGATTTGCTCTACTATTATTGTTGTTATTGTTATTGATACAACTAGGAGTATTTGTTTATCATCTGAGTTTTGCAAAGATGCTGCTTAGAATCAGTGAGAATGTCTTACAAGCCTGAAAAAATAAAAAAATAATTCTTAAAAGATGGATGGAAACGGATTGAGGGGTGTGCTGTGACAGGAGATAACGCTGGTTTATCTCAACCATATCAAGATGGCAGCTACATACGTTTGTTCAGAATATCCTTAAAGGAACTAATTAATCCTTTAGTTTCGTTCCACTGAACGCTTCCACCGACTGGTAGGCAACGGCAGATGTCTTACTATAGTCACTGGGAAATTGGAAGATGGCTTCAGGCTCAAATGTGGTAGGATGAGATTCCTCTGAAGTTCGCCATAAAAGCACTCTTTCATTAACTGCCTCCAGGTTGCTAGTATCCTCCTCATCCTTCAGCTCCGGTCAAAGAAATTAGAATCCCATTACAAGCCTTATTTTACATTTGTGTGTACGACATTCGTGCGGGAAACCTCTGGTTGCATTCTCAACTTCTCCATCTTAAAAGGCCTCCTCCAGTCAAGGGGGACTTAAGATCAAACTTATCAGAGATGTAAAATATTATAACAAGAGCAAAACAGCCACATACTGTAAAGATTCTAGCAAGTTCACGTCCTTGTTCCTTCTCCATAGCTAGCCCTAGTCCGGGACTGCTGAATCCCCCAGTTGACCCAGCAGTCAAGCTCTTAGGCAAACCGGAGCGTTTGCAGCGCTCCGTATCTTCTTCCAAAGCTGGTAAGTTCAGAACACAACAAGAAACCCCCCCACCCACACCCCACCCCCAGGAGCAGAGAGGGTGCTAGGAAAGGCGATCCTCTCTGATCCAGTGAGAGAGATTAGCCAGCAGACCCGTCATATATTTCTCCCGCCTGTTCCTGCAGAAGTATCCATGGCTGCAGAAGGACTCTCCAGTCCTGGCAGCAGTGGCAAAGATCCGCCTCCATCTCCTATGATTGACAGGAAGAAACACAGGCGGAAGAAGCTCAGCACACCGTCCAAGACTGAGGGATCAGCAGGGCAGGCGGAGGGTAAGAGGCCTCTGCTGTCAGTCGTGATTCTTAAAGATGAAATAAGTCCGTTTTGAACCACAGTTTGGGTTGTTCTACCGGGCATGTTAGAACGACACGGTTTCCAAGGAAATAGACAGGAAAAAAACTTGAGGGGCATCTCTAGAGGGATCTTTCTCAGCTTGGTGTTCTCTGGGTGGGGGGGTGTCTATAGCCATCAGAGCATTCAGGTGAGATGGCCAATGGCCCTGCCAGCTGGGGATCCTGAGAGGTCCATTTGCTTTTTTTTTTTTAAGTGCCTATGCCAGGGATCCCGTTGCAGGAAGGGATGAATGCTTGAGCGGTGATCACGGTTGTCTGAACTGAAGCATAGCCAAGATGATTGGGGTGCCAGAGACTCAAAACACTGGAAGTTTTTAAGAAGAGACTGGACAGCCATTTGTCTGAAATGGTGCAGGGTTCCTGCCTGAGCAGGGGGTTGGACTCGATGACCTCCAAGGTCCCTTCCAACTTTATTATTATTATTTAACTCAAAGAATGCCTCCCAGAGTTTATGCAAAAGGAGAGACGGTTGTTTTTTAGCAAGCCTGACTGGGATTCGGTGAGGGGAATTCGGTGAGGAGCCTACAAGTCAAGGCTGTGGGGAGACCACGCTGCCTGTTGCCACCCCTGGAAAGGAAAGGAACGGTCCTCTCCTTTGGAGGAGGGGCTGGGCCGTGGTCAGAGGAGCTGCCCACTCCCACCCTTTTCTCTTAGCTCTGCCTGCACTAAGCAGCTGTTGCCAAACCTCTCACTTCCGCTCTGAGTCTGCACCACACGGGGCCATGCCCTTCACAGCTTTCTCCCTCACTGTCCCTTGCAGCGCTTCACGCATCCACCACCGCCCCCCACCGGGTGCCCGAATCCAGGGGTCTGGGAGTTCTGATAGCCTCTGCTTTTTTTTTTTTTTAAATTATTTTCCTTTTCCTCCTCTGAACTCTCTCCCCTTTCTTCTTTTCCTCCCTTCTCTTTCTCTGCCTCTCGCTTCCTGCTTCCCCTCCGGACCCACTGCAGCCAAGCGTAAAATGTGGAAATTAAAAACCTTTGGTAGTTTAAGAAATATTTATAAAACAGGTAATGAGCGGCGGTGGCAGGTGTGGGCTCTTTTTTTGTGTGTGTGCCACGGCACCCATTGCATGTGGTTGTGCTTACTTTGTGATGTGCGCCCTGCTTTGATGTCTGTTCCCCCGATGCTCAAGAGATATCCCTTCTTGCTTCCAGGTTAAACCATTCCCAGGCCAGCAAGGGTGTGTACAAATTTCCCCTTCCCCCCCCCCCAAACCTCCATTTCCCACCCAAATAATTAAGTTCCCAGAATTCTTTCAGAATGGGAGTTTTTGAACTGATTCTTAAACTCAGTCAGAACTCCTTTGGGAGGAATATTAGTTAAATAATCAGACGAGCCCCCAAAGTGCAAATAAACAGGGCCATAAAAATCAGTAGATTCCCTAGAAGGCACCTTTTCCAGCAATAGGAGGGTCTCCTGCTATATGCAGCCAAAACAATAGAAGAAGGTTGTGTTCTAGCTCAGCGTACTTTCTCTACGTGTGCTTGTAACAATCAGGCCCAAGAAGCTTGCATTTCACACTGTTTGCTGTAGAATATAAGGTCCCACAATTTTTTTGCAGTGCACAAGCAGGCTCCTTGAAAGACAAATAAGAACAGAAAGAACAGACCAGAGTCCTAGAGGGCTCTTCCCCATTTGTGTTTATTAACAATATTCTTATGAGTTCTTTAGACTGCCATGTCCTCACAATTCTGTCTTCCTCTTGTTTCCAACCCATGAACGAGATGGGCTTAGAAAATCCCTAGCTGTTCTGCAGGAGTGTTTTCTCCCTAGTAGATAGTAAATTTGTAGCAGTCCCAAGGTAAGCAAAAACTGAGCCATTTTACAGACTAGTCTGTTGATGGTTAGAGTCGTGTGACCTTTTGAGGAGTGGGAACAGGCAGAGATCCCTTGGTCCTTTAAGCCAGGGGTCCCCAACCCCCGGCCCGTGGACCGGTACCAGTCCGTGGCGTGCCAGCAACCGGTCCGCACAAGCAAGGAAAGCCCCATCAGTGGGATGCAGGCAGGGCACAAAACGACGCACTCTCCAGTCCGTGGAAAAACCTTTCTCTGCGGAACCGGTCCCTGGTGCCCAAAAGTTTGGGGAATCTCTGCTTTAAGCTGATGCAGGTATGGCCCTTTTCCCAGACTCTCCATTCCCATTATCTTAATTATTCTTCCCATAAGAAATGGCCATGGACCACTGAGTGAAGATTTGAATCTTGGGCCTCTTGCTCCTTCAATATTCCACACTGGCATTAGAAATACTTTGAATTTTTGCCCCACTGTCGTCTTTGATTTTGAAGTTTTACAAACCAAAGACAATGGTGGGAGTAAAATATAATGTGAGCCACCCGACATAAAAGCGCTTTGGCTTCCCAAAATCAGGCATGCCTGAGCATTTTTATCTCAGAGGGATTGTGATCCTTCACCATTCTAACCAATTAATTCCCACTTCTCTGCCCCGGTTCTCCTGCAAAATGAAGAGAAGGGAAGCTGATAATTGCAAAAATTTCTTTTTGATGCAATCAGCACACTCTCTCGCCCTACCTCACCCGTGGCTTGGGCTTGCTTGCAGAAAATTCTGCTCCCCACCATAGCCCTGGTTCCTGTCAGAGCCCTCACTGGTGAGGAATTGCTAGCCTGACTGTCATTGATTGTCATCGGCTTCCCATTTCCTGCCTCCTGAACTTGCCATTCTGGCTGGATCTCAAGTGGCCCTGTATTCCATCCAGGTTCAAAACAAAGAGTGAGACTGGAAAAAGAGGAGTTGACACCTCCCTTATCCTATAGAACCACATAGAGTAGTGGTTCTCAACCTTTTTAATGCCGCGACCCCCAACCGGTTGTAAGTCGAGGACTAAACCGGTCGTAAGTCGAGGACTAAACCAGTCATAAGTCGAGGACTACCCAACCGGTCGTAAGTCGAGGACTTTCCCTGCCCGGGAGCGCCGCGCATGCGTGGTTCCGCCCCCTGCGCAGGCCGAGGCGTAGCTGGCAAGCGGCAGAGACGGAGCAGGCCGACCACCAGCTGGCCCAGCTCAAGGGAGGTAAGGCACCCGCCGGAAAAGGGGAAAAAAAATGGCGGACAGCCTTGCTTGGCGACCCCCGTGAAATGGTCGATCGACCCCAAATGGGGTCGCGACCCATAGGTTGAGAACCGCTGACATAGAGTGTGTTGTGTTTCCACACGCTAACCCCGCTCTCTAGTTCAGGGTTGAGCAACTTAAGCAACTTAAGCAACTACATAGGAGGGTTCCCTAGTGCTCTGCAAATTAAAGGTGCTCTATGATTAACTTTAAAAGAGTAACTAACTTGTGAGTTGATAAAGCGCTGGTAGAATAAATGGGACTTTCCCTCCCCCCTCCCAGAAAGGACAGCATCCCTGTAGAACTCTTTCAGCTTTTTTGCCGTTTATGAATTTAAAATGTTGGCCCTGTGTAAACTATAAATAATCGTGTCCCTGCTACTAATAGATCATCTCCCTCCAACTTTTCCCAAGCGTCTGTGCTGGAAAAATAAGCTTTTTTCTTTTATTCGTTTAACTTCTAAATGCCCTTCTCCAGTCCCCGCCTTTTGCCCCAGCACCAGTTTGTGACTGTAAGGCAATTGGAACTTCAGGGAAAAGTGTATCATTTCATTGTGCCTGAGCGCGGCTCTTTTACACCCACAGAGGAAGAGAATTTTGAGTTCATCATCGTCTCCAGCACAGGACAGACCTGGCACTTTGAGGCCAACAGCTTCGAGGAGAGAGATTCCTGGGTCCAAGCCATCGAGAGCCAGATCTTGGCCAGCTTGCAGTGCTGTGAAAGTAGCAAGAACAAGGTATGGGCCCTCCGGCTTCCTGCTGTCCCCTTTCCCTACTGAAGCCTGCCTTTAAGTATCGATCGCCTATAAAGCTTTTTGTGATTTTGGCCATTTGTAAATGGTCACCATGATGTAAAAAAGATGTTGAGACTCTAGAAAGAGTACAGAGAAGAGCAACAAAGATGATTAGGGGACTGGAGGCTAAAGCATATAAGGAACGGCTGCTGGAATTGGGTATGTCTAGTTTAACAAAGAGAAGGACGAGGGGGGACATGATAGCAGGGTTCCAATATCTCAGGGGCTGCCACAAAGAAGAGGGAGCCAAGCTATTATCCAAAGTGCCTGAAGGCAGGACAAGAAGCAATGGATGGAAACTAACCAAGGAGAGAAGCAACCTAGAATTAAGGAGAAACTTCCTGACAGTTAGAACAATTAACCAGTGGAACAACCTGCCTCCAGAAGCGGTGAATGCTCCAACACTGGAAGTTTTTAAGAAGAGACTGGACAGCCATTTGCCCGAAATGGTATAGGGTTTCCTGCCTGAGCAGGGGGTTGGACTAGATGACCTCCAAGGTCCCTTCCAACTTTATTATTATTATTATAAATGCACTATCTATGTTAGGGTTACCAGAGTATCTGAGGAGCCAAAGGAGGGCCTGGACAATTGGAAAGGAGGACATATTAGTGGGGGGGAGGAGGAGAGGAGAACCCACTAAAGGTTTAACTTTCTTGGCATCTGCAACGAAAATTACAGCACTTTACAACTGCCCCAAAAAGTGTTCTTAGGGCCTGTAGGAAATTATCTTTTTTTTTCAGCACCAGAAAGACCTGGTTTTTCAACTGCAGTATAGGTAGTCCTCGACTTATGACCACAATTGAGCCCCAGATTTCCCTTTCTAAGCAAAGCAAGTTGTTAAGTGGGTTTTCGCCCCATTTGAGGACCTTTTTGTTAAGCGAATCGCTGCAATTGTGAAATTGAATCGTGTGGTTGTTAATCAAACCTGGCTCCCCCCATCGACTTTGCTTGTCAGAAACCGGCTGGGAAGGTTACAAATGGTGATCACATGACCCCAGCATAGGGCAACTGACATAAATAGATGCCAGTTGCCAAGGGCCCGAATTTTGATCACATGACCGTGGGGATGCTGCAACGGTCATAAGTGTGAAAACCAGTCATAAATCACTTTTTTTCAGTGCCATTGTTTTAACTTGGAACGATCGCTAAACAAATGGTTCTAAGTTGAAGACTCCCTGTATTTTTCCAACAAACCTTTATCTTTAAGAACAGCAACAATACAGAATCGACAACACAACAACATTTTCCAAATTTCCCTATAGAAATGTATTAAACGGGTCAAGGGATCTACAGTTTACGACAATAGTACATTTGAAGATTGAAGATAGTTGCTGGAATCAGGAAATAAATAACATAAATCTAGGCTGTTGAGTCTGCCTAAGCAGGAGGGATAGAAAATTAAAAAAAAAAAACCAGACAATTTACACAGTCACAATACACAACAGTTTCAATGACATTTGGAAGAAGATGCAAAAAAACCAGACAAGATTTAATTTTAAGGCTATGCCTGCTGGATGGAGGATAAAAAAAGAGGATGTGTCCTCCTTTTGCCAGGTTCCCAGTGTTTCTCAACCTTGACAATTTTAAGGCATATGGACTTCAACTCCCAGAATTCCACAGCCAGCATTGCTGGCTGTGGAATTCTGGGAGTTGAAGTCCACATGCCTTAAAATTGTCAAGGTTGAGAAACACTGCGTGTCTAATCCATTGTTATAATCAAAACCTGGCTCACCTAAAGCAATCACTAAAACCAACTGAAGATATAGCATAATTTCATTAGCATGCAAACAATAAAACAATGTAGACTGGCAATGGTTGGGCAGTCCTAAGCAAAGGCCAGAACCAAAGCTTAGGTACCCACCCATGGCTTACCCGTATTGCAAAGGCAAGGCAAAGAAAAAGGCAGATACGGTGTAAATTACAACCTGGGGTTGGAATGTTTTTGATAAACTCATCTGGGTGACCTTCTTATTTATCCCTGCTGATTTGGCATGCCGGTTATACTGTCTCTGAGATATGGTCAGTGCATATAAACAGTTTGGTTTACTGGGCCGCAAGTTCTTGGCTGATTCTTCTCCTGTCAGCATTTAGGATCACTTCAGCTTGCTGTGAAGGTTGTCTTAACAAAGGGCGCTTTAAGCAATACATATGTGGTGGGGAGCATCTCGTAGATTTAGTAGTGAATGCAGCTCTCACAAGTGTAAGTAAACCTTAGTCAGTTGAAGATGAAAGGATGGAAACCATAATGTAAAAGTGCTTCTATATGGCAAGGCCTTGAAACAGTTCCTTCCTTCCTTCCTTCCTTCCTTCCTTCCTTCCTTCCTTCCTTCCTTCCTTCCTTCCTTCCTTCCTTCCTTCCTTCCTTCCTTCCTTCCTTCCTTCCTTCCTTCCTTCCTTCCTTCCTTCCTTCCTTC